ACAAGGCAAACTGGGGATTTCAAAATTCATACAACCACAAATGTAAAAAGTAAAATAACAAAATTACCGAACTCCTAGGAAAATTCAAAACGGAAAGTCCCTTATCAAATGGCAAAATCAAAAGCTCACGAATGAAAAACAACTGTCATATTCCTGTCTTGTTACAGGCATTTCCTCATGTAGAAAATGGTGGATTAAACCTGGTTTTATAGCTAGCTAAACCTCTCACTTGTATGACAGTCGCATATAATTCATGTAAACAACCTTTGCAAACTATTCAGCATTCAATGTAAACAATCTTTGGGAACTATTCAACATTCAATGTAAACAATATTTGGGAACTATTCAACATTCAATGTAAACAATCTTTGGGAACTATTCAACATTCAATGTAAACAATCTTTGGGAACTATTCAACATTCAATGTAAACAATCTTAAACAATCTTTGGGAACTATTCAACATTCAATGTAAACAATCTTTGGGAACTATTCAACATTCAATGTAAACAATCTTTGGGAACTATTCAACATTCAATGTAAACAATCTTTGGGAACTATTCAGCACAAAACTTACTGAATCATTGGAATCAACTATATAATCAAACAAATGCTATAATACAACCATAGATTACCATGGATAAATAAAACACTCAAAACACTACCTACCATTAAAAATAAACTATACAAGACTCCGGTCTGTGTTTTTTGTTAGATGTTTTTTTGCGTTATATCGATCTGATGAGTAAAGCCCTTTTCAACTGATTTTAATAGTTTTTTCTTATGTTATGCTGTTGCACCGCTGTCCCAGTTTAGGGGAGGGTTGAACGCTCACACACATGTCTAACCCTGCCACATTCTTTACGTGCCTGTCCAAAGTCAGGAGCTTGTAGTTCAGTGGTTGTCTTGTCGTTGGTTCATGTCTGTCTATAATCCCTTACATCCACTTCATTTGAACTTTGGTGGATAGTTGTCTCATTGGCAATCATACCACATATCTTTTTTTTTTCAGAGGATAAAAGTTACACTGATAGATATATGAAACTTAAATTACAAGTACAAAAAGAACAAAAGTGGCATACTGGAAATGCATCTAGAAATAAATATGTGACTTACTCATTAACAAATCAGAATCTTATTCAGGCCTAACAACACAATTAATGACCCCTATTTGCGTTGTCCAATAGTTCCCTTTAATTATAGTGTATTTTTTGTGAATTTATTTTTTCTCTTTCTCATTATTTCTAAGTTTATATGGGTCGAAAAAGAAAGAAGAGAGTTGAAATAAACTGAAATAAACTTTTGCATATTTTATTTTAACTGTTAAGTGGAGGTAAGAAGTGATTAATTTAGGCTAGGTGCAAAAGGGTAATATTTACAGTTTTCGGTATATCTCTTGACTTGTCCATTCCAGTAGGACAGGACATGTTGAATCGACATGGCTGTACCAGATAAAGGGGATAGCCCTCATCCTAACATTACAGGACTAAACATCTCAACACCTGGCATAACAAAATTATTCAACATCATCAACTGTCATAACTTAAAAACTTTACTAAATTCTTCCATAAATACAAAGGTTTGGTTTGCAAGTTTGGCTGTACCTGTAGAAAACTTATTTCAAACGGAATAGCACATCCTAAATTTTAAGGTGAATGTGTTAACCGAGCCCGGAAATTTAGATACAATCCGGGTAAATTTATCAATCCTTTAAATAAACTTATTCTAAAAGGTTACCTATTCAACACTGTTAAATCTTTGAATATTGTTTTTATTGGTATAAATATTGATTTTGTTATCAGTAAATTAAAACCATACTAAATATTACACATATGTACTTTCACGGTACTACAATCTGTCGATACCTATATTTTGAGAACAGATACATGTAGCACCTATCCTAACAATCATATTAAAAAATCAATCGAAACTGGACAGACACGAAAAGATTGGAAGCATACTAATGTTGCACTAGTCTTCAAAATGGACAATTTCATTGACTTGCATATGCTGCAAGTGAATGGCACATATTGTTACAAAAACCATTATTAACCATCTTGAGAATAATGGCCTCCTGTATATTCAACATGGCTTTAGACGGTCATGGCCATGCGAAACACAACTTCTATATTTTATTCAAAAAACTATCAGCTGCAAACAACAATAGCACATTATAATTGACTTAAGTAAAGCATTCGATAAGGTTCCACATCACAGACTTTTATTTAAATAAAGCTGTTATTGCATTTCTGGACTTACAGTTAATTGGATCTCCCCATTCCTTTTAAAACGCAAACAAACAGTTGTCATGGATGGAAAGTCATCAAACACTGTCCCAGTCACATCAGAGGTGCCTCAAGGTATACTACTGTATTAGGCCAGGTCGTATATTTAGTCTAAATAAAGGACCTTCCATACTACCTAAATCATAGCAAACTTAAGACTATGTGCAGACAACAGTATAATTATACATAGGACGATCAGATCTCAAAGTGGCTGCAACAAACTTCAGGCAGTTGTTGATGCAGTATCAAAGTGGGAACATGACTGATTGGTGGCTTTTCACAATCTGTGGCGCAGAAAAAAACATGAGAATCATCCGCTAAATACCTTGGTATCACACTTCAATCAAATATAAAATAAGACAAACATATAAATGATATAACATCTAAATGTAACAAATCTCTTGGTTTTCTAAAACGAAACCTCAAAACATAAAACCATTCTACCAAGAGCCAGACATACCAAGCACCTATCCGCTATAAACACAGTCTAGCTTAGTCTGGGGCCCAATAACCGCAGAATCAATATCAACTTATAAAGATTTAGCTGGTCCATTAGCGAGCAGCTAGGTATGTCTGTAGTAGGTACATGTATCATACGAGTAGTGTATCTGACATGCTGAACATTCTGAATTGGTCACCACTATCAGTCCGTAGACTGTGCACTAGACTTGTGATGATGTATAATATCTCATGTGATCTAGTCGCGATTCCATCCGACACCATTCTTATACCTGCAGATCCAAGAACCAGAAAACTTTATCAACTCACTTTTAAACACGTATATACACGTAAAGATACATACAGGCATTCAAATACCAATAACAATATTGCAATGTAATACATTACCTTTTTCAATAATTAAGTCTTCGAATTCCTGATTGACAATCTATAGAGAAATCTAACCTCTGCTGTTCTCTGTACTCTCATTAATTGGCCTTTTAAAGTTTTTTATTCGAGCGTCACTGATGAGTCTTTTGTAGACGAGACGCGCGTCTGGCGTACAAAATGTAATTAATGATATCTATGATGTGTGTATTTAAGTAGATGTTTTATGCTTAAATGTGTTAACCGCTTTATTTGTTCATTTGCACTACCAAATAATTTGAACAACATAGCTGCAGTAAATTTGTTTATTTTACTTCATTTATTAATTTATGTAAATAGGCCACGTATGCAACTGTAATTGATCATCAGCCTGCTTGATGGAAAATTCTTTATCTAAAGAAAAACTTTTTTTTTGGAAAACCAACAAACCGCATGACATCCTTGTATTTACTTCTTAATTTAAACATTGTATTGTTCAAAAGACAAATGTACCAGACGGTCAACTATTTCAACTTAGTAACGTCTTCTAATGCTTTACTTCATAGCGTCGTGTTATCTGATGATGAATATTCCAAACGTTCTAACTGGCGATATTAAAGTTTTAACAGTTTTTTTTTCCATCCACGATGTATTTTCAATGCAGTTATCTTATTCTGTCTATTTAAATTGGTTGTGTTCACATTTACATGTACACTGAACAAATATGGCTTGTTGTTAATTGTGTAATCCGAAAAAAATGTAACATGTAAAATACAGTGTGTTAGAAATAATACTATAAAACTCATGCAAAAAAAAAAAACACCATGAAAAATCATAATTCACTACCCGAACTAGGACTCTTTTAGAAATTGTTCAAACGAAGCTGAATTTAATGAACTTAAGCTTGCATGAACACATATACTACAGTATTTTAAATGCTGCGTCCAAAAATCAGTACAAATGGTTCTTTCTTCCTATGGTCTGACGATTTTTGATACTTACTGGTCAATACCGCAAATACTGCCGATTTCAATTAAATGTTACGACAAGACTTCATAAAACCTGTTAGGAGTGTTGTTTGTTTCTTTTTTTTGTTGCTTACAGTATCTAACTAACACTTGTAGCTTTCGAAGCTTCATGTAGTAGCTAGGAAACTTTGATCGTGCTTGTTGCTCTATGTTTTAATGTCAGTTGTTTTCTCTCCCGAAAGAATCGGTGTATTGGTGGAGGAGGTCATCTTTTGTAATGTGTGGGAATTTCAAGAGCCTGTAACAATTTAATTCAGTGGTCGTCGTTGGAAGATGTTTATCAAATTTTTTTTCATATATTGTTTGAACATAAATCGGGCCATTGTTTTTTGTCGTTTGAATTGTTTTACATTTTGTTTCAGTTCAGGGTCTTTTATATCTTACTATACAGTATGAGTTTTGCTCACATTGTTGAAGGCCGTACGATAACCTATATACACTGCTTATATCTACGACATTTGGTCTCTATCGGATAGTTTCCTCATTGGAAATCATATCCAACTTCTTATTTTTATATACTACAAACTTTTACTCTTACTACAAATCGATCAAACATTTAATTTAAGTTATTGGCCGTTCAAATTCTTGTGGTTTGGTTATTTTTTTGATGTTTCAAATCTAATAAGCTTACAAGTGATAGCTTTTCATAAAGCTTGGCTGACTTAACATCATTAAATGTTAGAAGTCCGTTTCTAGAAGGTAGTTGGAAAGTACCTACGCCTTATTTTTAGCCTGGATTTTTATTATTCGTAATGTCACCAGTAACATAACATATTTTGAAATCAACTATAAAACCATTGTACCTATCGTCTACTTAATTTTCTATTGTTACTTAGAAATCGAGAGCTGTAGATTACTGCACTGTCAGTAAATAAAAACATTGCAAAAGTTAAATTAGTTTATTAAAGAAAATAAATAATTTGTGAATGACGTATAATGTACAATGAAATGGATGTGAAAATGTGCCCCGTAACAATCAATTCCTTTAGTTCAGCTTGTTATCAACCCATCATCAACATCATCATGGGGTCTATATCCATCTGACTTCCCCACATTAAAGGAAGCAATCTATTCATACCAGATTGGCCAGCCTGTCCTGCTGAAAGTAGATAAATACAAATATTTTGTAGGTTGATAATTTGAATATAATTTGAATGCTATAATGATTGTCTAATTATTCTTGTTTTACAATATGTAAATCTTGAGAATTTTCAGAACTATGAAAAGGAAACTTGAATATCTCCGAGGCATCCTTCCGTCCATTTGATAATTCCAACATCTCTATATCATCCTCACATTCTAGTGACATTCATTGAAAGATATCACGAGGTCAAATGCAAATGAGATACATTTTGACCAGTATATTCCAGTTTAAAGCCGAAGCCCGTAATTTTAAGTGATAACTTTACGACATTAATTAACATTTATGTCAGTTTACGGTTATTTTGTACATTATAAATCATGGCCAAGAGATCGTGACATAGATTCATTATATAGCCATATTCATAACTTGTTTTTTATGAGAAATATGTAAGTAACACAAATTCATACATTTCACAACAATCACATTCGATGTTCGATGACAGCACTACTTTTGCGTCAATTGTTATTATTGAGATGTATCATTTGCGCCAAATATTATTTTTTAAATGAAACAATTGTGTCAGTATAAGAAATTTATTTGTGCCAATTTACCTGTACAAATATTTTATACATAATAATAATAACTAAATTTATGTACCTTTAAAAGTATAATTAATGAAATAATTGAGATTTGTTTTGCCTAAAAGATGAGTATACAATAAAAAAGTATACGCTCTTATGTTAGGAGTTATTTCCTATTGAAGAGGAATACCTGAAAAGAAATAATTTGAAATTTCTCAGGCAATCCAAGCAGTGAGAAAGAAGGAAACTGTACCCAGCTCAGCAAAGGATTCAAAAATATATAGTTTTAAGAAATTTTACATGAAGTTTGGAAATAAAGATGAAGATTTTGTTTTAGTAAAGGGGCATTGTGATTCTTGGTTGTGGAGCTGTAGGGTGGAACATTCAGGTGATGTCCGAAGTGTTAATTTGTACATTAAATATAAAGGAGGGTTGATTTTTGTTAATTTGCACAATCGTTAACTTTATTTTGTCGCAAATGATACTATGCATTTTCTAAAATTAGTGGAATAAACGTAGCATCTGCGCAAAAGGGCGCATTTTGGCGCAAACGGATTTCTCACTTGTTCGATAAGGTCTTATTAAAAATTGACAATTATAAGTTTATGCCATTGTTTCAAACGGATACCACTAAGGTATTAGTAAAACATTATAATACTGAAACATTTAAGTAATAATAAAAACAGAAGTAGTCAAAGATTTAATTTTTTTAAAGTGATAAAGACGATAACACCAAAGACAATTAATTAAACTAAACCCATAAATAGACAAATACTAAAGCTTACCCTACCAATAAATAAAAAAGCCAATGACGTTTTAAGGGATGGAAAATATCCTCAAATTATTGTAAACATATTTTGGTCGTGCAAACAAGACCCAGTTTTTTTTCAGAAAGCCATCCCCATTCAACATGAAAATGAATCGAAATTAAAGAGGATGAACAAAGTTGAAATGAATACACGTCTAAAGAAATGTACAATGTATAATATGAAAGAATGAACAAATAATTTTCATTTAAATAGAAGGGGGGTGATTCTGTTCAACATCGTAAAATTAGTAATTAGACAAATAATCCTTACCACCAGCGGATCCGCCTAGTGAATTTGTATTCTGTGCTACTGAAGCATCTTGTCTTGATGGATTCATCATATGCCTCAGGAACATCATGCTTGCCAAATTATCAAATTGTGCGAAAGCACTTCCGGCCAAACATACCACGAAGAACAAGGCTACAACTTTTTGGATCATTTTGGAATCTGTAATAAAAAGACTTATAGAATATCCTTTTGAAAATGTGAAGTTTGAAAGTAAACTGCGAAGATCCAAAGAATAAAATTCCAGTGATGAAACATTCCTAATTAAATCTTTATACATTTTTTTAACCCTAATAACAATAATAAAATAATAAATCACAATAAAGATAGAAAAAATTAAACTGAATGGAGATGTGAAATATAATATTTAGTCCTTAACAAAAAGGTAAATACTAGTAAATAAATGCTTACTTTAACTGTGTTATCCGTCTGAAGCAAGATAAGTTCTGTGACCTTAAGCTGAACGTTTCGTGTTTATATACTACTCATAACTGGTTAAAGTTACAGGTGATGAAGATTGAATAATTACAGTACACGAATGAAGCCACAGGACAAACACGTATATTGTTGCCTCCGGGTAATTTATAATGTTTTTTGATCTTTTGTATCTCAATCAGCATGTCCAAAAACTGGTAAAATCAACAGATATACAATTGTCATTTTTCTTCTTACTGGTGTTTAACACATGACCAGGGTGTGATTTATGTCAGGACTTCAGACATTACTAATTTTATTGTATCTGTAATAGTGATATAATTAAGATCTTAGAAAGTAAAACTGATGACCCAACAATACAGTCATGCAGAAAGCATGACGTGTTTAAAAATTAAAAAGATCTCAAAACCGGCTTGCTAGAATATTAATGTATATTTTTGATTTGTCGCAAAACTTTCATCTAAATGGATGATTGAAAACCCATCTTTTATCAGTGGGAAGGTTCAATTTCATAAAACCAGGCTTATCCGATTATAGTTAAGCCGAAAGTGCTTGTACTTTTTCATCCGTGCAATAAAAGAGTGATTATGAAGAAAAAAATCATGAAACATAAATCAATAGTAGTGATGTTTTTTACTTTCCCCTCCACAATGCATAATTAAGTCTTTACCACACACACATACACAAATGATGAACACACTCTGTCTTTTGTTTCTCTCGATGCAGACCATTTAAAGTCATATTTATGTGTAACTAATATGATATATATCAATTATATACAATATAAATAAAATAAATAAAAAAGCCAAAGACGTTTTAAGGGATGGAAAATATCCTCAAATTATTAAAAACATATTTTGGTCGTGCAAACAAGACCCAGTTTTTTTTCAGAAAATTATATACAATATATATATAATTGAAATTAGCATGCAATATATTTTATATAAAAGTATTTATCATCGTTAAAATTATTGAAATAACTTGCTTGTCTATGTATTTAGGAATAAGACAAGGTTTTCCGCTGAAGCAATACATATACCGAAGAAAAACAACATGATGGAAATCTTCAAACCGATAAAAAGTTATTTTCGTGACATTTTCATTTATTAGGCTTTCCCTGTTTTAAATACAAATATTTATGAATTTAAACGTTGAATGTTGTTGAAATGGGCTTAATCTTGCCAAGAACATTTTGTAGACGCATTGTTTTGAAATTAAATTAGAAGGTTTCATTTCTAAATGTTTGTGGTAAATTTATTCACAAGCGATTAAATGTAGAATATGTATTCTTTAATGTGATTAAACCTTGTTGGAACAATGGTTTACATTAAAAACAAAAGCATAATAAATAAAATAAGACAAAGGTACAAGTGATGTTGAGATGACAAGATAAAGAAATTATTAATAAATAAGAAAGATACTAGAGGGACAGTCAAACTCATAGATCGAAAACAAACTGACAACGACGCCATGGCCAAAAATAAAAAGACAAACAGACAAATAATAGTACAGATACAGATGACACAACATAAAAAACTAAAGACTAAGCAACACGAGACTAATAAGAATAATAAATTGAAAGATAGTAAACAATACAAGCATCTTGCAACACAGAGCTTATACATAGATGTCTGATTTATAGGTATGAATTTAAGAATCCACCCTTTTATTTATAGTTTTATAATGTAAAAAGTTGTTTTCAGTTTTTGGATTGTTTGGTAAATTCATATGATCCCTTAACTTTGAAAGATTACAATTATTATATATTTCCAATATTTGCCAATACAATTTCTCCCATCAGCAGTGAAAGATTTACATCCGAGAAGGTAGAGATAATCATATCCCATATTATTAGTATTGCTCACTTGACACGTTCTGTTTTCTCTTGCAATCTTGAAATATATGCCGATTTTCCAAATGGAATAAATATAATATCTGCCATCAAAAATACTGAAATAACTTTCAAAATTAAAATTTTCTTTATATATTCCTTAATTTAATATTAATTTTATTAATTTTTAGGCAGTTATTTACATTTGAAATTAAGGTTTAAATGAAATGGTTCTGCAAAGTGTTTTTAATTCAATATACATTTTTGGACATTTATTTACACTGACTCTTCAAAGTGGATCTAACTGTAATTTTGAGGCAGTTGTCTTTATAATGTGTCCTCATTGAAAATGTGTCAAATCCCCACTTGCGTCTTCTAGTTTCAATATTTAATATCAATGCTGATTATGTAGGCATACAAGTGACGCAACTGATTACCACGATCTTATTCAACCTATAAACACCAGCATATTCGTAAAACAAGATAAGTTAAGGAGTTTTACAGAAAGATTGTAAAGTTTTCAGATCAAAGTCTGGAAGAGAGAATTTTTATCAAAAGCCTTCCACAAATAAATTCTTACTGGGAGATATAACTCTGCTCCATTCCTCTGCTTATTTACGTGCAGAGATTTTAGCATCTTCACAAATCGATCCTTTCATTGGATTGAGCATTCCCAATTAGAATGGACATTACTGCATATTTATATATCCGCACAGGCAAACGGGTTGTTTGATGCTGTTTTCTTACGTCAAGTGGAACATATTGAATGGATTTTGAGGACGATAATAAATAAAGAGCTGCGCCATGAGCGCATAATACGTCCGTAGTTTTTTCAACGAATAAAGTTCCATAACTCCTCAATTTCATATCAGAAATATATAAAAAAAAAAAAAAAAATACAGAGAGGTTATTTTAATAGATATAAACCAGTCACCAAATGTTCATGAAAACTGCTCAAATCACTTTTGAGTTATTGTCCGAGAACGGGAAAATCGCCTCTTTTTATGAATAAAATCCCATAACTCGGAAACGTAAAATCTAAGATATATAAAATCGAAATGGAGCTTAAGTCAATAAATATAAATAATTCACCAAAGTTTCATGAAAACGGTTCAAAGCATTTTTGAGTTATTGTCCGAAAACTGGTAAATCCCCCTTTTTAATGAATAAAACCCGATTACTCGGAAATGTAAAATCTAAAATTAATAAAAATCGAAAGGGAGCTCACGTCAATAGATATAAACAATTCACCAAAGTGTCATGCAAATTGGTTACAGCGTTTTTGAGTTATTGTCAGACATGTTGACGACGGACGGACAGACGGACGGACAGACGGACGGACAACTGTATACCATAATACGTCCCGTAAACGGGCCTATAAAAATCAACAGACCAATTAGGTGTTTACTGCTTAGTGGGTAGACTGGAACGAAGGGTTTGAAATTTGAGAACTGCCACTCAAAAAGATGGTTGATTAGATTTGGGATATAAATTTTGCATTTCATAATAGGTTAGCTACGGACCTCAAAAAGGAAAAATTATTACATATTTTCACCACGAAACAGTGGATTAAGTCGTATGGACAAAGGGAATTGTGAGCAGACGTCACTCAAAAAGCAACGAAACAACAAAGTCAGTCAAGTATTATCATTTAGAGATCAACAAATGGTCTTTCAACAAAAGAAAGTATATGTATACCTTACATCAATTTCTTAACCCTAACCCTTATGGTTAGTCGACTCAACATAGGTATGTACTTCAAAAAGATGTATTTATTGATCGATTGTTTGCTTAACGCCCAGTGGTAAATAGAAGATTGCGTATTAAAAAAACGTTACACACCTCCTTGCCAATTTACATTGGACCATGTTTTTGATAAATCTGTAATAACATGTACTATACTTAACAACTGCATAGTAGTTAAATCGTCGAATCAATGGTTTACTTTGTAACAGATTTTTACCATTTTCTTTAAAAATCCTTAAAATTTCAAAGCGGGTTAATCATTCAAACAAATAAAAAAGACAAAAAACACTGAATATGACTAAAAAGAACTACAAAAACAGACAAAAAAAAACCAGAACATAAGCATAAAGTTAAAATTACAACAGAAAACTCAATTCAAAAGAAATAAAGTAATAATTCACAAAGCAATACTAAAAACTAATGGACCAGAAAAAAATTCTTTTAAAATTAACATCAACACATCTATCAACTGTAAACCAAAAGCACATTTACGGTGGTTCCAACAATTATATTTTATTTTGTCAAGCATTGTAGCTAAGAGAATACATAATGAACTGCCACACTATCCTTCACCTGAGTTCTTTGTTATAGTGTAGCAACAGTTGAATTCATATATGTAAGTTTATTTGGGATATTATCTACATGTGTATTACAGTAAAACGAATAATGTTTTGCGTCTTTAATTTCAGGAAAAAGATTCAATAATACAATACTAAGGATGTTTAAGCTCATTATACCTGCAGGAACTCAAACAACACCAGACAATATATTAGGTTCTCAACAGTTTGTACATACATTAATGCCTAGGGGAAATACATGGTATAAAAATTATCACTTTCATAATATATTGTGCTAGTATTATGACACGTTTATTTGTTTTATTATATTACATCACAAATATATATATCATTCGATAAATGGGGTCCATTGACAATATGTATCAGAAAGACATTTGTTTTGACACTGACGGATTAAACCATGCAATCTATGACAATTTGTCAAATTTTGCACGCTGTACTTGTATGTTAAATACTTCAATAAATTCAAATCTTAACATTGGGTAAAACGTGTCTAACTGTGGTATACGTTTTTTCCTCGTTACAATCTTATAAATGATAAAACATTAAAATGAAGAAAAAAAAAATAAATACAAAAAAATACTCCCCTCCAAAAACCCTTTAAACAATAAACATACAATATAATGCAATATATGTACCATTAAGCATATATATATAGTGTAAATGTAAACAAGTATAAATTGAAAACAACGTTCAAACCTATGATTGACTGAGTTGGATAAAAACCGCAATTTTTATACGTGTGCATGCAAAACAAATTTCTTGGTAGAGGGGTCTATAGTGTAAATGTATATACATGTATGCATGTCTTTTTTGTCAACTTAAATGTGGGTATCTCTAAATGCTTGATGAACATCCATTTGCTTTGAATTCATTGTATAATTACGACAATACTCACATATAGAAAGAAGAAGGGATTTAAAAAAATTCTTTCAATCTTTACTAAAATTCACAATATAACAGTCTGATTTGTGTGGCTTTTGAGTTTCTATCAACATTGTGCCGTATCATTGAACTTATGACCTTGATTAAATTAATGGATATTGATATTTTGTTTTTAGAATTTTTCCCAAAACTTGAATAGGGACATATTATTTTCGGAAATAAAGCTATATGTAATTTGTCTCTAAAATACAAATAAAAGCACGATATAAAATAATTCACAATTTCCTTCGAAGCACATTTTACGAAAACATGTTGAGGAGTAGGCCCAATTTTCCCTGATTTTTTTTTCACACTAGCGCCATTTTCATAAAGTTTTTCAATCTTTACTTAAATTCATAGTATAATGTTACCAAATGTGTGTACTTTAAGGTTCTAACAATATGCCTGCTTATTTATTAACAGGTCATAAAATTATAAACGCCTGAAGAAGACTCAAAGTTGGAATTTTGAGAGATTTTGACAAGTTTTGAGTATTTCTTTTGTATTCGTCTTTCAGATACAAATTATTTCATTTCTGTTAGCGATGTCCTTTGGTGCAAAATTTGACAAAAACATGTAAAATTTGCAATTTAGTATCAAAATGCCTTCAACAACAACATGTATCGCTGAATAATAGTATGCTTCGATTGAAAATTGAAAGATTGCGAAAAAGTATTTCAAGTAAATCATGGTTTAGATTTTCTTATTTTCAATTTCCAGGAGATTTGACAACTTTACGATTTTGACCCTATGAATGAAGAAAATAATGGGGATATGGTCCTACTCCTTTGCAATATTATATCAAATTGTCTCTGACAACAACGTTAACGTTAGCACTGAATATCTATTTAATATGGATATATCTAAATTCAATAATTAATAAATTCTTTTTAGTATATGATTACAAGTATTCAGTTACTTTGTTATTCAACATCAAGTATTTTTAGACAACTATCTGATTTTGGCCATGGGGGTAAAACAAATGCAGGGAATATTGGCGATCATGTGACTTCTTTAACATGTTCAATGGAGTTGAATTAACAAGTATTTTTTATAAATAAATCCTAATTTGTATGGTGAGAGAACACATGATCCTACATCCTGTTGATACTGTTTACTTATATTTGGCATTGCACTAGGTGTATTGCGTCTTTACACCAAATCTGTTGCATGTGCACTGATTGATACTTTTGTCCTGGAGAAAATGCTTTCAGAAACTGCGCACACCTTTTTATCGGTGCTTTGTGTTTATTATTCTTATGTTAGATGTTTGAGTGCTTCGTATCTATCTATTTGGTTAAACCAATTGTAACTTTTTTTTACAGTCTGTTCTTATGATTTGCTGTTACACCACCCTCCCAGATTAGGGGACGGTTAAGCGCTTATAATCATGTTTAACCCAGCTACATACTTTATGTGCCTATCCCGAGTCAGTGATTGTAGTTGGATCATGCCTGTCATAATTGTTTTCGTACATGTAAATTGTATCGTCATAAACTAGGCCGTTAGTTTTCTCGTTTGAGCTGTTTCACATTTTTAGGTCGGGACCATTTACAGCCGACTATACGGTATGGGATTTTCTCATCGTTGAAGGCCTTACGGAGACCTTTAATTGCTTATATCAACTTCATTCGAACTCTGGTGTATAGTTGTCTCATTGACAATCATACCACATACCACATCTCTTTATTATGCCACCGCTGTCACCGGAGGGGGCATTAAGTGTTACCCTTGTCCGTCTGTACGTCTGTCCCAAAATTGGTTTTCGTTCTTAACCAATTTTTGCCTCAACCAAATGTTATGAAAATATACATAATACTTATTACCACAAAACACAGATCAAGGTCGAATTTTGGTGGCGTCACTTTTACCGTTCTCGAGTTATGCTCTTTATTGTGTCCCATGGACATATTCTCCATGTATTTTTAAATTAAAAAGCAGTTTTGGCTCGAATTCGCAGGGCCGAGTGTTAAATCATTTTTCTTTTTATATTTAATTTTTTTTATAAGTTTTTACTACAAATGCTGCTTACTGGTGTATTATTTATGAATGTATGGCTATGAAAACAAAAAGGTATGAACTTATCAATATAACAAACTTTCCATGTATATGTATTCATGCATTTTTTTCCATTTTTCATATATTTTTTCACATTATAATTTTCATGGTGATTTATTCCTCCCGATTTGGGATATAGGTGTTATTCATATATTGATAATATACTGAAAAATAAAGGATAATCTATACATCTGTTCCATTATGATAACATTGAAGTAACAATCTGTTGATATTCACTAAAGGTATACTATTGGAAAAGTTTACCTTAAACCCTTTTCCTTTAACTTGATTATTGATTATAAAAAATCGTCCATACATTGTAATAGTCGACTTGTAATTTATTTTCTGTTATAGGTAAAGATTATTTGAACGTGTAGGCATTCTGCGAAATAAGATACATGTATGAAAAGATGACGAGTATTAATGGAATGCAATAAGTACCCATAGGAATTCTGGGAAATAAGACAGATGAAAAGTATTACTGGACTGTCAAAAAGTACCCATTGGAATTCCGAGAAATAAGATACGTGTATTGAAAAGATAACAAGTATTACTAGACTATCAATAAGAACCCATTGACATTCTTGGAAATAATAAACATGTATGGACAAGATGACGGTCAAGTCTTACAGTACTATCAATAAGTACCTACTAGGATTTTTCACAAGTTTTTCAATATCCTCGAATTATTTTTAATGTGTTATATTAGATCAGGCGTCAAGATTTATCGCAGTGCGTGTTTTTAATCGTCGTTTTTTTCTAGCAGAGCCTATGTAATTGTTCGACCTATTTCTGTTAACGACGCAATAATGTTATTGCGTCTTGTACTTAAATTGTATAGCAATTTACTATTTTAAGTTGAACTACAAATTCAATGATTGCCAATGAATTCATCTTCCTACGTCATGTAATACTAGTAATTACCATTTTTAAGTTTGGTATTTGAAATTCAGGACGCCAAGTAAAGTTTCCTTATTTGTTTTATATGAGTGACTATTAAAGCAGAAACGTTTGCTGATATCCAATTGTTTTAAATGAATTTGTTTTCCTTTACTACCCTTTTTATCAGTAAGACTGAATTAATACTTAGTCTACGCAATTTCAAAACAGACGCTATCCTCTTGTCACCATTATAAAAAATAACTGTACTAAAAACACAGTTTATAGGCTGACTTAAACACGCAGATGACCTAAATACGCAGATAAAAAATATTCAATATACTAAAGGACAGAGAATATAATAAATTTGTTTACCAATTACGGTACAAAAAGTAGGTGTCATTTTTCATCTTTTCGTGTTAAATACTTAACATATTAACATGACACTTTCTGTTACACAGAAAACATGCATTAATAATAACATGATCTAAAAACTATTGTCACATATTACCCACATGATCACATTGTTATGGTATCCCCTAGGTTATCAATTATTTGTGACTTTATTGCAGTTTCTTGATAAAATATTTGTGGTTTACTTGACGCAAAAGCTTGGCTTGTGGACTATATCGTGATGATAGACAAGTGGTTGTCGTGATCTAACTGAATCATTTGTCTTAGTGATTAATGTCAGAGAAATATTTAACCCATATATTTACACAACAAAGATAAACATCAAATACAGATTTTGTTAATTGATAAGTTCTGTAGATATAGTGTTAACCCTTTTACTCATAAACAGTCTTACTACAGACCATGCTAACCTCTGTCGAATCAAGAGAGTTCATCCTCAAATTATCTGAGGTCCACGGACAAAATATGATAGAGGACCCCCTTTATTGCGAGGATGATAATTGTGTTGCTAATGTCTGTTCAATAGGCGTTAAGTGCCACGCATATAGAACATGTATGTTACATAAAATTGAGAATGGAAATGGGGAATGTGTCAAAGAGACAACAACCCGACCATAGAGCAGACAACAGCCGAAGGCTACCAATGGGTCTTCAACGCAGCGAGAAACTCCCGCACCCGGAGTCTTTACCTCAAGAAATTCAGTTAAATTCACACTTAAAGCATGAAAAATGTATATTTGACTATGTCTTGGAGGTATAGAAACTGTATATTTGACTATGTCTTGGAGGTATAGAAACTGTATATTTGACTATGTCTTGGAGGTATAGAAACTGTATATTTGACTATCATGTCTTGGAGGTTTAGAAACTGTATATTTGACTATGTCTTGGAGGTATAGAAACTGTATATTTGACTATGTCTTGGAGGTATAGAAACTGTATATTTGACTATGTCTTGGAGGTATAGAAACTGTATATTTGACTATGTCTTGGAGGTATAGAAACTGTATATTTGACTATGTCTGGGCGGTATAGAAACTGTATATTTGACTATGTCTTGGAGGTATAGAAACTGTATATTTGACTATGTCTGGGCGGTATAGAAACTGTATATTTGACTATGTCTGGGAGGTATAGAAACTGTATATTTGACTATGACTTGGAGGTATAGAAACTGTACATTTGACTATGTCTGGGAGGTAAAGAAACTGTATATTTGACTATGTCTGGGAGGTATAGAAACTGTATATTTGACTATGTCTTGGAGGTATAGAAACTGTATATTTGACTATGTCTTGGAGGTATAGAAACTGTATATTTGACTATGTCTGGGAGGTATAGAAACTGTATATTTGACTATGTCTTGGAGGTATAGAAACTGTATATTTGACTATGTCTTGGAGGTATAGAAACTGTATATTTGACTATGTCTGGGAGGTATAGAAACTGTATATTTGACTATGTCTGGGAGGTATAGTAACTGTAAAACATCATCAACTGTTATGTGTTTGAAAAAATCAGATACAGCAAATGAGATTTCAGGTTTAGGGAAACATTAAAGTGTATTTTAGAGCACCGATTTACTTTTTAAAGTTAACATACACAATCAGTCCCATCTACATGCAAGTTTTCAAGATCACACGTCTACTACCACGTGCATAAAGTTGCATTGTAATAGTATTGCATAATGTTAAACTTATATTTCGTAACCAAACAAAACTGTTAAAGAATAACTAAAGATTGTAAATTCCTGTGGAAGCCGGATGCAACCAATTTTGCGTTTTCACGTTGCCAATACAAAGGCGAAAACGCGAAATAAAATTCATTTCTCGATTTCGCGTCTCCTCCTTTGAAAATACTTAGGCCACTATGCGAAAACACAAAATTAGCCACATTTGGCTTTCATGAATTCCCCCTGTCTTCAATTACTGAACGTTTATGTAAATGTCCTTACTCCGGATTTCTTTATTTGCTTCTAAATTTTTCTGTCGAAGGTCGGTGGTCCTTTCCGGGCACTCTGGCTTCCTCCATCATTTAAACTGACCGCCACGAAATAGCCAATTGTGCTGAAAGTGGCGTTAAACACAAAGCAAACAATCAATTAATCAATGGCTATTAAACCTTTGGTGTCGAGAGTAGATACATCTGTAGCCATCACCAAAATTGATACCAAACATGAACGTGTATATAAATGCAAACTTACTTTGGGCAAGTTTAAAAGCTTCTTATCTTCAAAACGATTCCAGAAAGATGTCACAGGAAATCCATAGGATTATGTAGTTGTGTAGTTGTTTAGTTGTGTAATAACTCATCAAAGATACCAGGCTTATAATTGTGTACGCCATATGCGCGTTTCGTCTTTATAAGACTCGTCAGTGACGCTCGAATCAAAAATGTTAAAGGTCCAAATAAAGTAAGAAGTTGAAGAGCATTAATATTTAAATGCAGTAATTTCTAAAATAGATCTGTTCGTTCAATTGCGAATTTAGTGAATAATTTAGTGGAGAATAAAAAAATAACAATCAACAATGGGAAGGAAAAGATAAGGCAATCGCACCGAATCTTGCTTTGGTGCTTGTTTTTCATTCATGGACGTTAATGTCTAGATGTCTTATGAGAGTACAGCATAAATAACTTATCATGGAAGTTTACCGCCACTGGTATATAATCGGTTAGCTTGTTATATTTTTTATTGGCTGCTGGTCTTCTTTAATTATCATGTGACCATGCTCTTTGAAAAACTAAATGGGATAATATAAATGCACGATACTCATTTCAATGCACAGGAGACATGTTCCTTGAATAACCTTCACTCAAAAGTTTGTGAATATTCATGATAACAAAGAAAGGCCCAGACGATGGTCAGTGAAATGTTAGGGAGATTTAATCTTATCTTAGTACAATTACGTAGCTTATATTTTTATAATTATCGAATTGCTCGATTAGCTTCATAACCTGTAAGTCCATGGAATCTGTAAGTGCAAGTTAAATTTATTATTGTTTTGTGGTGAAACATTAAGATTAAGAAAAACTGGAGGACATTGGTATTAAATCAAACATATTTTAAAAACTCGTTAATATCTAAGAATCTATTATTATATTAATATATAATCTCACAGTTTTCTCTGAAATCAACGATACATGTACTTGGACTTTATTTTAACACAATATTAGCTCCAAATTTATCTGAATCACTGGTAATCATCTCTCAATGATATAATGTCCATTCGAAACATGTATGTTCCCCTACGAATCCTACGTTCGGTTGACTTTCGGATTTTTTTTAACAATAATTCCGTTGAAAACAAACATGAAGAATAAAATATACATGTATTTTGGAACCATTCGAGAATACAGCTGACCCTATAAGAAAACAATTAAGAAAAACATAGGCATGGGTTCCCGATACACACAGCAGTGGTCTGTGGGTGGGATATTCTCCAAATAACATGGGTTCCCGATACACACAGCAGTGGTCTGTGGGTGGATACACACAGCAGTGGTCTGTGGGTGGATACACACAGCAGTGGTCTGTGGGTGGATACACACAGCAGTGGTCTGTGGGTGGGATATTCTCCAAATAACATGGGTTCCCGATACAAACAGCAGTGGTCTATGGGTGGATACACACAGCAGTGGTCTGTGGGTGGATACACACAGCAGTGGTCTGTGGGTGGGATATTCTCCAAATAACATGGGTTCCCGATACACACAGCAGTGGTCTGTGGGTGGATACACACAGCAGTGGTCTGTGGGTGGATACACACAGCAGTGGTCTGTGGGTGGATACACACAGCAGTGGTCTGTGGGTGGATACACACAGCAGTTGTCTGTGGGTGGATACACACAGCAGTGGTCTGTGGGTGGGATATTCTCCAAATAACATGGGTTCCCGATACACACAGCAGTGGTCTGTGGGTGGATACACACAGCAGTGGTCTGTGGGTGGGATATTCTCCAAATAACATGGGTTCCCGATACACACAGCAGTGGTCTGTGGGTGGATACACACATCAGTGGTCTGTGGGTGGATACACACAGCAGTGGTCTGTGGGTGGATACACACAGCAGTGGTCTGTGGGTGGATACACACATCAGTGGTCTGTGGGTGGATACACACAGCAGTGGTCTGTGGGTGGATACACACAGCAGTGGTCTGTGGGTGAGATATTCTCCAAATAATACAACGGAATAAGAAACAGTTCATATAAAATATTCAACGAAAACCAACTTAGCCTCAAAACCTAAAAAAACCTCAATTTTAAATGAGATCGTACACTACTCATTTAATGCAAAATCTGGATTTTTTTTTAGAATATTGTTTTACATACTTTTTTTTAAAATAAAGTCATTGGCATGTTTTATGACTGTTGCAGCAACTATGTACTAAAACAAAATGACTAATAACCACTTCAATCTACCATCCCATAAAGTTTGAATGTCTATTTGGGTCAGATTTACTACAAATGTACTAAGTCGTTAGACCAAAATCTCAAGTCTTAAATCAAGCCCGCCTTGATAAATAGGCTTAACATAGTAACCTATAACTCATAGAATTAATTCAATTATCCCACTTTCTTTGATAAATCTAAGATGTTACGTTTTATATATATTAACCAAGAAAACAATCTGGATTATTTGTTTGTGTTTTATGTTGCCAGTTAATTGAAAGGTCAGGTTAATAGTTGAAACAATGTGATATGTACACTGTTCATAAGATTATAAAGAACATGCTGACGACCATTACAATATTCAATAAACATATTTCTAACAATAGCATAAGAAATATTCGCCTGGCCTACACTTATACTCATATAAAGCATGTTGAATAATAAAGGGTCACTATATATGCAGTCGTCACGGGTTTGTATGTAAGGTGTACATGTATATAGTCTCCATACAGAGACAAGATATCATTGTTTTCCAATAGAGGACTTATTAGGGACCAGTACAATGACTAGCAATTACAATATAAATAAGAAGATGTGGTATGAGTGCCAATGAGACAACTATCCATCCAAGTCACAATGTGTAAAAAGTAAACAATTATAGGTCAAAGTACGGCCTTCAACACGGAGCCTTGGCTCACACCGAGCAGCAAGCCATAAAGGGCCCCAAAGAGACTATATAGATTACTATTAAACAATAACAATAACAAACATTAGCTCTAATATTGAGTATAACATGAGTAACTGTTATAAATTACACCTTATATCAGTATCCTGGATTTTGATTTGTTGATAGCTGGTGTATTTTTCATGTATTTTATTTTAAGAGAGGAAATGTGTTTACATTTACTCATCACCGGGGTATATGTACAAGGAAATGCCCTTTTTTCACTCACTTGCACTTTGATGACGTGACTGTGGTTTTCTAAAGCAGTTGGTTAAAATTTCTGATGTTTGATAAAACGAATTGCAATTGGGTAAGATTTTTGAATGAACTGCAATAGGTGGAGAGAAACACTTACGGTCAAGTCACAGTAAAACAGGTGTGTGGATGGTACGTTTTACGGTCAAGTCACAGTAAAACAGGTGTGTGGATGGTACGTATTACGGTCAAGTCACAGTAAAACAGGTGTGTGGATGGTACGTATTACGGTCAAGTCACAGTAAAACAGGTGTGTGGATGGTACGTATTACGGTCAAGTCACAGTAAAACAGGTGTGTGGATGGTACGTATTACGGTCAAGTCACAGTAAAACAGGTGTGTGGATGGTACGTATTACGGTCAAGTCACAGTAAAACAGGTGTGTGGATGGTACGTATTCGTTCATGTTAACTGAAGAAAACATAAATTGATAAATTTTATAAGAAAATTCAAATACAAAAAAAAAAAAACAAAAAAAAAAACCACATAATTCCTACATGTTGTATATTAAACCAGAAATAAGTATATTACGATAGAATTCAGTTGCAAACGTGAATTTGTTTATTTTATAAGATTGATTTTAAATGACCGTTTTACACGGAGTCAAAATAAACTTGTTTACATTTCAAATAGCTGATGCAGCAGATTATATGGTAAACAGAATTACGGAGAAATGTTTCTTTTCGACTTTCCTATCGTCCTTCCCGATCAGAATCTCTGTTTATTGAAAACAGGGCATCCTCCAGGAAATACTTCCAGCATTGGTATTAGTACTGCTCTTGGTAAATAGCACATGTCTAGTAAAATCAAAAAGATATTAATACAAATACGACAGATAATTTACTACCCTTACTTAAAGCATGCATATATGGATGGAATCACTAACTACATTGATCTTTTTGATTTCCAATAGCTCTATGGCGATGTGACCAGTATTTTAGAAATAGGTTAGACTAGTTTGAGAGTACATGTCATCGACCAGATTATCATGACTGTGTCAAACTGACCTAACAAAGTAGTTATAATACAGTCCTACTGACCATGTAGTTTTATGGCATATTAATGTCAGTTCTAGAACTTTGAATATCATGTAAATAGTACGTAAAACGGTCTTTAACTTCACTTTGCAGTATTTAAATATTCATCAATAACTATATTATTTT